TTTCCATGCAATCACAGTGCCCCCTGTTGGCAGCCTGTAATATACCAGTCTGCGGAAAAAACATGAGGGCAAATCACGTAGATGCACTTGTGCAGGTGACCTTGTTATTCTTTTGTTGTTTGCTTTTTTTGTTTGCCATCACAAGTGGTTTAAAAACCAAAGTGGCTTAACATTCTATCTACGCACAAAGTGCATGTGTTTGACAGCGACCCAGCGCACATCAAAGCTCTGAATACATGAGTACTAGCAAGAGGGATTTTAGGGGGTTGGAGGCAGTGAGCCCCCCTTTTTTCTATCACACAAAGTCAATTTGAAAATGTTATCTCATAAAAATCCTTCTCAAAGAAGGATTAAATGTCATGGTTTCAGCAGTCACACAATAAAGCAGCTTTTCTGCAGGGCAGATGCACCATGACACGCATTCATGATATATGCAAATAAAACAGTTGTTACATGTGGACCACAGATAACTTTAAAAATTCACCACTGGGTTAAACTGAACAAAACTCAAAGGGAAGAGGCACAGCACAACTAAAGCTAGAAATTAATAATGGCTTCATGAATAAATAATCAGTGCAAAACATAATGTACAGCACAAGACAATAGCGACTTCAGAGAGCCAATATTGTCTGAAGAGTTTACAATCAGATTATCACATATTACTGCAATGAATGGCTTCTGCTTTTAATAAAACTGTGGCATAAATGTTCAGCTTGGCTCCTATAACCCACAGCGACACAAGGGAACAGACGAAACGAGTTGAGCACACCTTTCCTAAGGCCCAGTTCTTACACAATGAGCTCCCGAGAGCCCAACATACTGCATCTGAACTGTGACCAGTGAGCTTCAACAATAGACTCATACATATCATCTCATTTTACCTCTGATGAAGAAAACCCCAGGGTCCAAAGAGTAGAGATGCTCAGACAGTCACTGCTGTCTTAAATATACTGTGTTTGTTCTGCAGTGTTCATATGACAGTGCATGTCACACTCATACTGAAAAAACAACTCTCAGCAGATATATCTTAAAGCCACATGATATCAGAGCAGAGGACCTTGGGAGAACCAGCTGAAGCCAGCTTCCCCATGAACACATGAATGCCAGGATGCTGACTGAGACACAATGTCATATCACACATGTCCTTAATCTTAACTAATGGAACTACATGTTCTGACCGAGAAAGAATATCTGAATCTTAACACACTAGAAAGGAAAACATAAAACATGCATGGCTTGTAAATTCTCCCACAATCTCAAATAAGGTCATCAGTTCAGTCTGAAATTATCAATGGGCAAAATGTGGTTTAAATGTGAAAGTTAATTTGACATTCACTTTGCACAGAACATATAATTTAGGATCAAATAAGCTCATTTGTATGCTGCTGAAGCCCTCGTATGTAATCTAGACTTCTAATAAACTATTTAGCTTGGCTTTGATGTCAATGACCTCCACAGAACATACGTAATGAAAACTTACTGGCATTTATGTGCACGTATTGTGTTAATGCTGGTGATGCAGTTTGTTTGTCAAGCCCATTTCCAGACTTCACCAAAAGCTCTCTAGCAGCAAGTGAAATCCAAAAAGACTCCAAAGAGGTGCAGCACAACTGCTTCTACTAAATAAACTAATAAATGACTGTGCATGAATAAATTAAACCTTAATACAACTATAAAAAAATAAATGCCAAAGGAAGACACTGCTGCCTTATGATATTCTGGTTACAGTAACTGAGAAGCCAAACTGGGCGGCATGGTGCTGCAGTGGTTAGAGCTCTTGTCTCACGGGGTTTTCTCTGGGTATTCCTGCTTTCTCCCACAGACGTGCAGGTTAGGTTGATCAGCGGTCTTAAGTTGCTCATAGGCGTGAATGTTGAGTGTGAGTTGCTGCGTCATCCTGTGATAGACTGGCAACCTGTCCAGGTGTGCTCCACCTCTCACCCAGTAGTGGCTGGGATTGGCTTCAGCCCCATGTCAGTGCTTTCACTTGCAACAGATGTTAATATGTGCAAACAGTCCAGCTTGCATTCTAAAGAGACAGAGGTGCGGGGGCAAGTTGAGCACAGCTTTTCCCCCAGGCCCAGTTCTTGCACACCAAACCCTGACATCTCATCGCCTTGCAGGAAACTCTCTGAGGATCATCAGTGACTCAACTTGTTCACCAACGGTGTGAGGGAGTTTCAGGGTATTCCACCTCAGGGCGCCTGTATCCCATCCATCCATTATCTCTACCGCTTATCCTGAAGAGGGTTGCGGGGGGGCTGGAGCCAATCCCAGCTGACACTGGGTGAGAGTCAGGGTCCACCCTGGACAGGTTGTCAGTCTGTCACACAGCTGACATTTAGAGGCAGACAACCACACACACACTCACACTCACTCCTATAGGCAGTTTAGAGTCGCCGATCATCCTAAGATGCATGTCTTTGGACTGTGGGAGGAAGCCGGAGCACCCGGAGAGAACCCACACAGGCACAGGGAGAGGAATCAATCTTTTTAATGATCTGTTTACAACATTCAGTCTCTAAACTGGTGACAACGTACAGAATGAGGTCACTGGCTACAATACAACACAAACTGCAGTGGTCACAAACCAAGTGTAATATCCTGTAATATCTGATCTGTGAGGTCACTATTCCTGTGCTCTCCACACTATAGACCCTGGTACATTTATATTTCCAAAGACTTGCAGATCAGCCCTCAAAAGCTTTTAAATCTTTTTCACATACAATTAACATCCAAACTCACTATTTATGCAAAATGAACAAGCTATTAGAAGGTTGAAGTCAACACTTACAGTAAACATGATAAAATAACAAGACGGAGATACTGTGGAGCGAAAGAGGGAGAGACAAACAGATGGCAGGTCAGCAACCCATGAATCCTGTGAGTGGACTGAGGAGCATCTTAAGTTGAATTCAGCAGTACGTATTCACTGGAGGCTGCATTTTGTACAGTTTGTCACAACAAGGCATCCATAGTTTATGTGGTTGCTAGGAAACAGGACATGGGAGGGGCATTAGGAGCGGCTTATGGTGTCCGTTTGTTCTGAGTCTCTCTAGACCCTCTGGGGTGAAAAGGAATTAGATTAGATTAGATTAGATTCGATTCAACTTTATTGTCATTACCCATGTACAAGGAAACGAAATGCAGTTTAGCATCTAATCAGAAGTGCAATAACAGCAGTGAAAAGTGCACAGTATCTACCGTATGAACAGTCAGAACTAATTTACCGATGGATATGTACAATTGATATTTACAGTAAGATATGTAGGGTAATGTATGACGTACAACAGAATTAGGTAGAGTAGCCTTAAGAACATCCCTCCCCTGTTCTTAATTTCCCTTTATTTCTCCCAGCTGTGTCTGTCTTACAAAACGCTGTACAGTAGAGCTGCAGCTGAAACAGACATCCCCTCATGTTAACTGCTAAAAGATTCAAAGTCTCATTTGCTTGGCTCTTGTTTTTAAAGGTATCACCCAGTGACAACTTTTATTAATTGACAAACTCGTTTTCGGTTGCCAGTCAGGAGGTCATCTCCAGGTTCTGTTTCTCATGTTGTGACACCTTGTACATTTCCCTCCCTCTTCATCTCCGTGACTTCCTCCTCTCCTGTCCCTTCCTCATCTCTCTCTGTCTCCGGCTCATTTTTTCTCGCACACCCTCTTCATCCCTTTCTTCTTCCTTTTCATCCACTCAGTGTCGTTCACTCTTCGCCTCCCTCAGATTGCAGCAGAATTCCCATCAAACCCTTGAACTGCATCTAATCAGCAGCTTTCCAGTTTTCCCATCTTCACAACCCAATTACATGAAAGCACAAGAGGAAATTCACACAGAACTCTCATCTAAGATACTGTATTACATGTTCTTTTACTTCCTCACTCCACCTTCACATTTCTTCATAAATTATGCAAAAACAAATCCACACACATAATTGTTTGTTTGTAAAATTAAATTCTACAGTTCAAGCACTTCATTAGGTTTGCCTGTCACATTATTTGTTTTTTAATAATTACTTTATCAGTATTCGTTTTAATTCATTTTTATTGTGACACATAAAACGAGCAAACATTCTGACCGAGAAATATTGGCTATCACATAAAAAAGGAAATAATAAGGCTAAGATTCACTGTAAATCAAACTGTATAATCCAAACATTGTTTTATTGGTCGCTGTCATGGTGAAGTAAATATAGAAACTGTAGGAATGTTGTTATTTTGCAGGGGTTTGATCATAAATAAAATCAGTGTACAAAGTGAAATCTGACCTTATGAAAGTTCTAGTTCAGGGAAATAACTGAAGTTATTATTACACTTATTATCCTGTCTGTGTGAAATTTCATGACAATCCATCAAACAGATGTTTCTCTTAGAACATAAAATGTCAACCTCATGGTGGCGCTGGAGGAACAGTCAGTGGATCACCAAAATCATTAGATCATCCTCTGGGGAGGCTGAATGTTTGTGGCAATTTCAAACATGCTCAGCTCACATACCTGTCTGCTTTCAATTAATACACTTAAAACACCCAAGACGTCATTGCAATGGAGCGAACACAATACACACACACACACACACACACACACACAACCTGCTGGAATTCACCTCGTAGCCATGGCATCTGAAGGAGGAGTCACCAAAGCTATCAGATAACAGAGGCAAATCCAGACCAACACATCCTTGCACACAGAAGTAGTGACAGCAGCTGGTGTGTTTTAAAAGAGTATGACCTGAGGTTGTTCTGGGAATACGCGTGCGCACACACACACACAAACACAGAGAGGTGATCACAGATGCTGGGAAGATCTCAGACATATGTTGGAATGCATTCAAACCTGGCAATGGAGGCTAAAAACAATAACCAGCTGCTTGTGTGTCTCTGTCGCTCTGCATGTTTGTGTTGACATGTGCATGAATTCCAAGGTGTTTGTCTATGTACCATGCACAGTGTATACAAAAGAAAACGTGTGCATTAATGCTGTGTTTACATGCACTTAGCGCACCTTTGCAATAAGACTGAGGGGGTCTCGGCAGGAAGGTGGCAGCGCTGACATCATTTCCTGCGCCAGGCCAGGTGCTTCTTGCTGTAGGTACATCTCTAACATGGAAGCCAGCTGAGACAGACCTTGTCTCTTCTGCTCAGACATGGAACTCAGGTCTGCAAAACATTAAACAATTAAGCATGTCCTGCCTGACAGTGTCTGCACAGAAACTTAGCACGCTGGCTAGCGCAAACAGACTTTAGGTTCTGCTTTGACACCGACAGACACAGAAATACATTAATCTCTCTTCACTGCACGGGAGTTAAAATACATGGGGACAAAAGACTCACGTGATTCATGCTCCTCCAAAGTGTAGAGCACCCCAGTGCTGCCCTTAGACGGACTTAACTAGAAACAAGGAGAAATTGCATGTTATAGTTTTACAACATTACTTTTCTGATTTTGTTCCACACCATGTTGCCTCCCTGAAGTATTCTGTTGCAGTTACATGAAGAGAAACAAACTTCTCTGCCACTAAGAAAATCTGTTTTGTCCCTGCTGGATGACAATGGATTTTTTAAACTATGCACTTCAGAAGGTTTTTATGAGTTCAAGAGGACATGGAAAACAAAGTGAGGTGCTTCTAAGCCTTAAAGTAAATTTTGCCTGAAAATCAGAAGTTGCAGAGAACATACCACCAATGTACAGTACTTCACAGTTAACAAATGAATGGTACAAATCACTGTTTTATTCCCTTGTGCACATTATTTTAAGTGTCTAACAGTGGGGAAACTCCAGAAACATACCAAGGCAAAGATGAGTCTCAACGCCAGATGGACTGAGTCAGTGGGAATTCTGGGTAGGAGGCTCCACAGACATTTACACTCTCTCTTGTGGGCAGGCCATGCTTGTTTCTGCACAGGAAGGGCATTTTAACAAACTACACAAAGAGTGTATGCACACACTTTCACATATACACACACAAACACACTGTACCTGGCATGTGATACTGCAGTAGCGAGCCATCTTGCACTGGGAACACCTCAACAAGGTCTTGTGTCTAGACAAAAGGAGGGAGGACCAGATCAGCTAATTTTGCACCAACTGTCAACTGAGTTTCCATGAAAACAAATCTGGTGCTCCGGTGTTACAGAAAACAAAAGATTGATTCACTGTTAACAAAAAGCTCTCTAGGCCAGAGGTAGAAAAACCTTAAAGCTTTCCTTATGAAGTGAATGGCTCAGTGAGCTGGAATGAGATCAGTACTTAAAATCATATCACTGATGTCAGACTTTCATTACTACTGCACCATTTTGGTGTTTCGACTAAAAAAACAAACAAACAAACAAAAAAACATTCAGCTGCTCCTCATGCTGACCCGTTTCAGAACAAATCCACACATCCTTTCTGTACTGTCATTGTTTTGACCTTTACCCACATAACAACCTTCTCTCACTCTCCTCTATTTGCTATATTAAGCTGACAGCGTGGATCCATTATCCAGCTGTACCCACCGTCTCCTTTTAGATTGTCATCTAAGAGCAGCATGTTAAGTGGACCCTCCTCACTGCCACAGCCAGTTAGTATCACAGCCCTCGTGTGTGTCTGAGCCCTTGTGTGTGTCCACTTATGCTGTTTGTGTATGTTTCCTGCCCCTGAGGTCTGCTGGGTTTCTCACAGTGACACTGTTGTCCTTTCCACTTTCCAGCCAGTCTGATAACAAGCCAAAGTGCAGCAGTGTCTGTCTGCTTCACACAGCAGATCAGAGTCTGTGTGTCAGTGTGTGTTTATGCACAGGCTGCTACAGTCCATGCAGATTAAATACACAGGGATGGTGCTTGCAATTATTAATATTACAGCAGTGTTTTGGGGGCATTTGCCTCTGCGCTTCTTCTCATTAATCTGAAAGTGTCTCCTGCTGTACAATACAATCCCAGCTGACACTGGGCATAAGGCGGGGTCCACCCTGGACAGGTCACCAGTCTGTCACAGGGCTGACATGTAGACAAACAACCACACACACTCACACTCACTACTATGGGCAATTTAGAGTCAGTAATCAACCTAAGCAGCATGTCTTTGGACTGTGGGAGGAAGCCGGAGTACCCAGAGAGAACCCACGCAGGCAAGGGGAGAACATGCAGACAACGCTAACCACTGCCCCCATCATGCAGCCTTGTGTAACATTTGCTGAAGCTAGTTTGAGGCTTCAGCAGCCTGACAAATCAAACAAGTATGTTCAGGGTCTTTTTTTCAGTACCTGTAATTTTTAAACTTAAAATTCCCTTTAAGATGATTCTTGCCGCCCTCTGGTTAAAACCTTGGCTATAAGCTATAAGTTTTATAACCTTGAATCTAGCCTCCGTAACAACATAGTACTGGACCATTTGATAATCTTATTATATGCTGGGCCTTTGGAGAAAGTGTTGACTGACTGATTGAACACCTGATTTCATCTTATTTAACACGCTTGTAATCAAAGTCTGTGCATCTACTGCAGATGCACAAGTACTAACAACAACCCAGAACACTCAGCAACTTGCATTTGATTTTGTGCCTATAAAGGATTTCTCTGCAAGTGTCATTCTAACTGCAGTGACCTTTCCAGGCAGAAAACAAATGGTAAATTTAACAGTCTCGCCCTGGGGTGGAGGTTTATGAAAGCACAGCTATTCTTGTCATTTTGAGAGGCACCTGAAACACAGAAGCCGCCCTCAGCTTAGACAAACACATGCCTGCAGTATGAGACACACAGCAATAACTTCAGATAGGACCAGGCCAGATTTAAACACAGTCAGGTTCTGTGCAGCCTCAACGAATGAACTGAGAACATAGACAGTTTAGTCACATCACAGGCTACAGGAAGTCCATCCATCTTCCACGAACCCCGACAGTCTGGCAGATGCTGAACACAAGCCCATTTTTACTTCTATACTTGTTCCTTGTAGCTGAACTGCAGTCACATACACAGCTGTACTACATATTCTCATGTACAGTGTGTCATTTTGAGATTAGGTAGATTTACATAACTTCCACAACAGTGTAAACCTAAACACTATCTGTACAAGATCGGCTTAAAAATGAATCCCATCGTAAGAATGAACCCCCACAGAAAGCTGATTTATGTTTATTACTTGCTACAGTTCTCAAACAGTGCAATGACGCCTGACTGTGTAAACATGTCTGTGGGGATCCATGCCGAGGCAATTACTGCAGGTAATGCAATGAAGCAAAAAGATATGGAAACTAAACATAATAAAAAAATCTTATATAGAAAATTCAAAGCAAAGTCATTTAAACAAGAAGGAAAAATGTATTTCCCTAATATTATTTTGAGGAACTGGAGACGCATTGTTTAAAACAATAATATTCAGTCAAAAACTCTGTAATAAGAATTCTGTTCTGCATTACTTGCATGTAAATATGAGTGAACAGCAGCAAAGCTTGACAGCGAGTTTTTCTGTTTTCTCTTAATGCTGGCAAAACATCTAATCTAAAAGCATGGAGTTAACTCTTAAGAAACATAAGAAGGTTGGTCCTGAGCCAAGAGGGAATTAACTTATCTGTCAGCAGTTTCCGCTGTAAATGGCTTCTCCTCCGTCTGGTCTGTGACCACAGTCTCGTCTCTCTGAAGTCACTGAGACCACAGCAGCTACACATATCTTAAAATGACATTAAATTAGCATAACTTACAAAAGGTGCTGACAATATAAACCATGCAGCAATAGGAGTTTGTCGTTTTTTGAGATTGTGCCAAACTAATCTATCCCAGCGCAAACAATGAGCTGCAACATGTTATAGCAATATGGAGTTTACAAGTCTTTTGCATCAATATGATGAAGTAGTTGATTTTCCAGGTAAATCTAATTCACTGAACCAGCCAAAGACAGGTTTTCCTGTCTGGTGGTTTTATTTGTACTCTTCCTCGTATCGACTTTTCAGAAAACTTGCTGTATCAAGATACAACAAACCTGCAATGTAAAAATACACAGTGTGATAAAAGATCACTAGTGTCAACACTTATAATGAAATGTGTGTAATAATCCAGTAATGTATATGTAGCTACATATGCCACATTAATGCACAGATATACCACAGCAACGGTTGTTATGGCAACCGCCTCCGGGCCTCCCGGCATTTATAAGGTTTCCACTCACACACACGGATACATTCCTTTGTAGATATCAATCACATGACTCAGGTGTTT